GTACACAACTTGAATGGCCAGTGCATTTTTTCTCCTTAGAAGAGCTGGTCTTAAGGACATGAGGTTGGGATTATGTGTCAGTCCATTGCATTTCATAGGTGAGAGTCAGCTGGTCACACTGGGTCTTATTTTCAGTCGTGGCTCTTTTGATAAGGTTACTTACTCTTTAAAGAAGTGATTAAATATCATTTGTTTTTTAAAGCCTTTAATGCAGTTGGAGGATATCAACAGTTTGTGCATAAGTACTTCCAAGCCATCCCAAGTGTGACCCGTCAAGGAAACTGGACTGCCAAGCCAAAGTGCTACACCCCTCGTCCAGATGCTTTCCACATCTTCCGAAGTCCCACCTCTGGAGATATCCCATGGCCTGGACTCATCTTTGGCGGCACTATTGTCTCCTTGTTCTATGGGTGTGCTGATCAGGTGATTAATGCACTGTCTCTGAAGTGACTGTTCTTTAGGGTCTCTGTAGACACAGGCAACTGGTCAAATTTGCCTTCCAATTTGTATTTATTGCCTAAATAGCATTGTAAGAAAGCTGTTTTGAGTTGGAGGCAGGAAGATCAGGAATTCAAGGCCATCCTTAGCTACATAGCAAGTTTGAAGCCAGCCTGGCCTACCTGAGACCCTGTCTCAAACAACAGCAACAACAAATCAAAAGAGAGCATAGACATTCCTGAGAATAAAAATGATGTATCTTGTCAGGCACGGTGGCACACACTTTTACTCTCAACACTTGGGAGGCAGAGGCAGGCAGATCTCTATGAGTTTGAGGTCAGTCTGGTCTGCACAGTGAGTTGTAGGACATTCAGTACTTACAGTGAAACTCTGTCTTAAAAAAAAAAAGACGTATCTTAGCCGGGCGTGGTGGCGCACGCCTTTAATCCCAGCACTTGGGAGGTAGAGGCAGGTGGATCTTTGTGAGTTCGAGGCCAGCCTGGTCTACATAGTGAGTTCCAGGACAGCTGGGGCTACAAGGAGACCCTGTATCACAAACAAACAAAAAAAACAAAAAAAAAGATGTGCCTTTACTATTAAAAAAGTCACAATGTGGAGCTGGGCAAAAAAAAACAAAAAAAAGATGTGCCTTTACTATTAAAAAAGTCACAATGTGGAGCTGGGCGTGGTGGCGCATACCTTTAGTCCCAGCACTAGGGAGGCAGAGGCAGGTGGATCTCTGTGAGTTCAAGCCCAGCTTGGTCTACACAGTGAGTTCAGGCCAGCTGGGGCTATAGGGAGACTCTGTCTCAAAAAGACCAAGAAAATATAATCGCAATGTAATAAAAGGTTCAAAGAAATTACCTAAATTCCATCAAGAATGGATGTAAGTACAGTTTTTCTTTCTGAGACAGGCTCTTCCTGTAACCCCAGCTGGTCTGGAACTTGCTATGTGGACCAGGCTGGGCTCAATCTCACAGAGATCCACCTGTGTCTGCCTTCGGAATTCTGGGATTAAAGGTGTGTACCACCACACTCTGGTACAATATTTTGCTGAACATATTTCTAGACATCTTTTCTGTACCTATAAAAAAATAAAGAGATGAGGGGCTGAGAGATGGCTCAGTGGTTAAGAGCACTGACTGCTCTTGCAGAGGACCCGGGTTCGATTCCCAGCACCCACATGGCAGCTACGAACCGTCCTTAACTCCAGTTCCTGGGGAATCCAAAGCCCTCTTCTGACCTCCACGGCATTGCACGACACAGGTGCACTCACATACATGCAGGCAATACACTCATACACATAAAATTAAAATAATAAAATATTTTTTAAAAAAGAAAGAGATGAGGGTCTGGAGAGATGGCTCAGCGGTTAAGAGTATTGGCTGCTCTTGCAGAGGACCTGGGTTTGATTCCCAGCATCCACATGGTGACTAACACCTGTCTGTAACTCCAGTTCCAGGGAAATCCAACACCTTCTTCTGACCTCCGCAGACATTGCACGACTCAATGCACTTATACACATGCAGGCATAACACTCAGACACATAAAATAAAAATAAAAATAAATTAAAAAAAGAAATTAAGATGCATGAAATAGTTTTTTATAAATGAGATTAGACCCTCATTGCTCTCTGTCACCTTTTGGGTTTCTTTTAACTTAAAACAATCCTTCAAAGCCTGGGGGGTTTATGTCAGGGAGAGAGAACATGCTTGGAAGCACAGAAAAACTAAAGGTGAAGGTTTTAGCATGATGAAAGAAAGGAAGAAAGAAAGAAAGAGAGGACGGAGGATGAGAGGGAGAAAGAAGGGAGGAAGAAAAGAAGGAAGGAGAAGGAAGGAAGGAAGGCCATAGACACATTTTCATTTTTAATGGCAGTATCCCTCTCTGCTGTGTAATGTACTAGAAGGCATTTAATCAGTTCTTAGTTGACAAACATTAACTATTAAAAACATGGCTGCTGGGACATGACTTGTGGTTGTCGTCTGGGCATACATTTCTGTAATGCATGTCTAATTCCTAGCTTCTTTCCCTTCTGTTTTTCTTTGTTGTTGTTGTTTTGTTTTGTTTTGTTTGGTAGATGATACATCATAAATTATAATTCCTAACCCTTTATTGTTTATGTATATAAACACAAACTTTTTCTAGGATATAGACTTTATAACCAGCCGCTTTCATAATCTCACTGATTCTAGTAATTTTACGTAAATTCTGTAGCTATATCATCTTCAAATGATGAAGGGTTTATTCCTTCCGTCCTGCCCTTGAGCTTACTTAACATTGCTCACTGTGCCAACTTGGGCTTCAACATACAATGACAGGCAAAGCATCAGCTGTTGCTAGAGATTTTAACACTCCTCTCTAGAAACAAAGCCATCCTACAGACAAAAGTTACAGCTATTCAGTACCTAAGCGGTATGACTAACATGCTTAGTTATATAGTAGAATAAATGTGCAGATCCAGTATAATTATTTTTTAAAAAATTTACTATGAAAATTTCATAACTGTTACAATGCATCTTAATCATATGCTCACCTCTTCCCTCTTCCAACTTCCTTCGACCCCTTTCAGTTTTAAGTCCTCTTATTTATTTTTTATAGCCCAATGAGTCCTCTCAGTGTTGCCCAGGGTTCCTCACTGGGATGTGGGCAACTGCCAGGGGTCATTCTTTAAAGAAAAGTGACTCTCTCTCCCCCAGTGGCCATCCACTGCCAGTAGCACCTTGGCTGCACCCATTCATTGACAGTTGGCCTGTGGGCACCCCTTGAGAGATTTTTCCTGAGTTAAGGTGGGAAGACCCAGACTGACAGTGGGTAGTACTATTACCTTGAGTTTGGGCCCTGGACTGTATAGGAGCATAGAATGTTAACTGAAGATGATGTACCTACAGAATTTACATAAAATAATAAATAAAATATTTTTAAAAATTTAAAATTATTTCTATATGTATGAGTATATTACCTATATGTATGTAAGGGCACTCGTGTCATGCAATGTCTGCGCACTGATCTCTTTATTTGACTTGTTTTCATTTCGTCATTTATTTCAGTTTGATGTTTTTCAGTGTTTCCCATTATTGACTTCTATTTTTAATATCTTAAATGGTTTCCTCATTTCATTTGGCTGTTTGTGTTTTTAACACACTGGTGCCCTGTTTGAGTTCTATGAACATGTTTATAAATATTCTTACGAATTCTTTGTCTGGAGTTTCATATGCTGCTCTCTTGGGGCTCATTTCTATGGGATTCCTTGTTCTTGTTTTTTTTTTTTTAATATTTATTTATTATTTTATGTGTAAGAGTGTATTGCCTGCATGTATGTGAGTGCACTCGTGTCGTGCAATGCCACGGAGGTCAGAAGAGGGCTTTGGATTCCCCTGGAACTGAAGTTAAGGATGGTTCATAGCCGCCATGTGGGTGCTGGGAATCAAACCCAAGTCCTCTGCAAAAGCAGTCAGTGCTCTTAACCGCTGAGCCATCTCTCCAGCCCCAGGATTGCTCATTTTTAGAAAATTTATTTATTATTTTTATTTTATGTGTATGAATGTATTGCCTGCATGTATGTAAGTGCACCTGTGTCATGTAATGCCCACAGAGGTCAGAAGAATTCCTGGAACTGGAATTAAAGATGGTTAATAGCTGCCATGTGGGTGGTGGGAATTGAACCCAGGTCCTCTGCAGGAACAGCCAGTGCTCTTAACCACTGAGCCATATCTCCAGCCCCCTATTTCTTTTCTTTTTTAAAAATTTAAGCCACATTTATTTTTTTCAGTGGAAAGCATGAATGCAAAGTTCAAGAGAAGACTAAGTCATGGTAGGGCTGAGGTGTCATTTTTCTCTGTGAGTTTTACATTCAGGGCTGGAGGCTCTATTCCTCATCTACCTATGAGACAGCAACTGTTTTTGATAATAGTCACTATCTAAGGGCCAACACATCCCTGTCTGGTCCCTGCCTCTGCTGCCGTGTGCTGTGGGCTCTTGTGTGCTTGTGTGCCCTACCCTCATTCAGCATCTGTCTCCTTTCTCTTTTGCATATTGTTGACCCATGTGCACCTAGGTGCCCTACTTTGGGTTAGCTCCATCCATTCCCTGATGCAGCCTCTGTCACGTGTTGTGGGTCCCTGCATGCCTGGGTGACATATCCTGACTCAGCTCTGGCCTCCTCCCTACTCCCACAGCCTCTGCTGGTGCCTGTTTTGGACCCCTGCATGCCTTAGCATCCTACCTTGAGACAACTCTGGCCTGTTCTTTGCTTCTGCAGCCTCAGCTGCATGTCATGGGTCCCTGTACAGTTGGGTGCTCCACTCAGCATTAGCTCAGCCCAGTGCCTTGTTTCTTCCATCTTTCTCATTTTAAGTTAGTTATCTTTTTTTTTTTGCAAATAGAAACAAGAAGTAACACACTAACACATAAATGTGTCCCTTCAGAATAATCAAAAGCTAAAGTTTAAAATTAAAACAATGAAGGATGATAATGTTAGAGAATTTTTTTTAGACAGAGGGGGATCTCATTATCCATAAGAACATAAAGACAAAATACCCTAGATCAAGCTGAAGCAGAATATCTCTTTCCAAGCCACTGGCTATCAGAAACTCACTGAAGTAGATGATGAACACAGGCTTCATATTTTTTTTATGAGAAACATACAGCCACAGAAGCTGTTGATATTCCCTGTGAAGAATGGAATTCATATGGTCTAACTGGTAGGAATGATAAACAAGGTTCTTTCTTGTTTGAACCCAGGAAACCAATGGTGTTGTCTTGACCTATGGCAGAGTGCGTCTGCTATTGAGGAAGGGAGCATTCCTGTTATAGAGCATGGAGTGAAGAGTGAATCTATTCAGAGGGGGCATTGCAGATTTCAATCTGAGTCTTCTCAACTTTATTATTATGGGGGGTGGGGAGAGAGAGAGAGAGAAAGAGAGAGAGGAAGAGAGAGAAAGAGAGAGAGAGAGAGAGAGAGAGAGAGAGAGAGAGACAGGCCTGGTCTGACAGAAAATACTATGCTTTGTCTTCTGGGGCCCCAAAGAACAGAATCTGCATACTTTTCAGTTCCTCTAAAGAAGATGATGTCTAACCATATGTTGTCAGAAAGGCTTAAACAAAGACAGTAAGAAACCAAAGGTCAAAGCACCCGGGATTCATATATTTTACTTCATATGTTCTATAACATAAACACTGACAGTATTCTGAAGAGACAACGTACTAATAAAAACAAGGAAGAGGCTGCAGAGTGTGCTAAACTACCTATTCCACTTTTTGCTTTCACTCGCTGCAGGCCTGGATGATGGCAATAAGTAGTAGCTGTGCCACAGCCTGAATACTCTTCTGTCTTGAACTTTCCTCCACCAAATGAGTCCAAGTAATCAACTTCACTCAAGTTCTCAGTACATGAGCAGAATGCAGCATTATTCTTTGCCAGAACATAACATGAATGACCTCTAGGTCAGGTCTTGAGACAGCTCCTGTTCTTCTCTGAGCTGAGTGTCCACTTTCTGCATTTCTTTTGACATTGTGATGATTCAAAACTCCCACCAGAACAGTCCACTAAGCTCTGTTTACAGTATTCTAGGGATTTTCTAGCCCAACCTCAAAAGTCTTCCACAATTCTCCCTTCCAAAATGAAAGCAATTCCAAAGGCCAATATGGTTAGGTTTATCACAGGAACAGCTCCACTTCTCAGTATCAATTTTCTGTATTAGTTGTCTGCCTTACTGCTGGGACAAGACACCTGACAAAAGCAACTTGGAACCATGGAAGAAATGGTTTATTTTGGCGTTGAGTTTGAAGGTACAGTCCATTGTGGCAGGGGAGTCAGGGCAGCAGGTGCTTGAGGCAGCTGGGCACACTGTATCCACAGTCAGGCTGCAGAAAGCTGCTGTCAAACTGGAGCTTCAGCCCATGGAATGATGCCACCCACATTTAAGATGGATCTTCCCATCACAATTAACCCAATTTAGAAAACCCCTTACAGACATGCTCAGAGGTTTGTTTTCAAGGTAAATCTAAATCCTGTCAAGCTGAAAATCAAGACTGATCATCACAGGTGTCAGCTACTTTTGCAAGTGTTTATTGACAATTTGTCTTCTTATTATTTTTTGGACTTTTTGAGACAGGGTCTCCTTATAACCCCAGCTGGCCTGAAACTTACTATGTAGACCAGGTTGGCCTCAGTCTCACAGAGATCCACCTGCCTCTGCCTCCTGAGTGCTAGGACTAAAAGCATGTGCTACCATACCCAGCTTGTATTTCTTCTTTTGAGGACTTTCTATTCACATCCTTAGTCCATTTATTGATTGAATGGTTTGGGGTTTTGGTGTTTAATAGTTTAGTTCTTTATATATCCTGGATATTAACCCCTTGTTTGATGTGTAGTTTCCAATATTTTTTCCCATCATGCAGGCTGCCTCCACTCTGGCGATTGTTTCCTTTGCTGCGCAGAAGCTTCCTAGTTTCATATAATCCAATCATTCAATTCTTGGTATTATTTTCTGTTCTATTGGAGTCCTGTTCTGAAAATTCTTTCTTATGGTTACATCTTGAAGTGTTTTGCCTTTGTTTCCCTCTAGAAGTTTCAAAGTTTTGGAACTTATATTAAGGTCTTTGAATCTATTTTGAATTGATTTTTTTTGTGTGTGCAGGATCCTAGTTTCAGTCTACTCAGTTTTCCAAGCATCATTTTTTTTTAAAGAGGCCGTCTTTTCTCTAATGTATAATTTTAACAACTTTGCTAAAACTTAGGTATATCTGTGTGGATTTATTTCTGGGTCCTTATCTATCCCATTGGTCTACGTGTCTATTTTTGTTCCACCATAATGCATGCTGTTCTTGTTATTTTATCTTTGTAAAGTAATTTGAGATTGATAAGTGCTACTTCCAACACTGCTCTTTCTGCTAAGGATTGCCTTGAAATGTCTTTAGTTCTTCATTGATTTTAAAAGATCTTTTTTTTTTTTCTTAGCTAGAACACTTTTGGTTAGCAGTTATTTACTCTTAGGCTTGACATATTTCATGATTTCCTGACTTTGAGGGTTGTTGACAAATCTAATGTTAGTCTGATGTTTCTGCCTTTGTGGACGAGCTGGTGTTTTACTTTTACAGCTTTCAGTATTGTTTCTTTGCTTTGTTTTTTGGCACCTTGGTTATACCGTGGAGACGTCTTCTCATGTCTATTTGGTGCTCTAAATGCCTCTTTTGTTGGAATGTCTATTTATTTCTCCAGATTTGGGAAATTTCTGCCACAATTTCTTGAATAAATTCCCTATATTTTTAGTGCTTATCAGTTCCTTCTTATATCCTGTGGACTGTTAGTTTTGGTCTCAGGATCATATTCCAGAATTCTTGCACATTGAAGTCGTGCTTGTCCACTTTGCTCGGTGACTGTGATACTGTGCTAGCAGGGAGGCCAGAGCATACATGGCAACCCTGTCCCACCCAGTAGCTCTACCCTAAGCAAGATGTGCTCATTGGTTACCTGTGTCTCCCTAGCCCTGGATGGTCCAAAGATATTTGGATGAGTGCTGAGTATCTTAGCAAAACCACCAGAGGGCACATCCTGCCATTGCACCAGGACACAGGTGCTTTGTCTGTACTGAGGCAGCGCAGGCTTTACACATCCTGATGGAACCATCACTTATTTCACTCACTTGTGTTTCCTTGGCAGGTTTCTGTCCAGAGGTTTCTGGCAGGAAAGAGCATGCTTCATATGAAAGGTGGCTGCCTCTTCTGTGGGTACCTGAAGCTGCTGCCCATGTTCCTCATGGTGATGCCAGGGATGATCAGCCGCATCTTGTTCTCAGGTAAACTCTGATTCTGATGTGTTCACATCAATCACTAGTGATCTCTTAGCAATCTAGAAAACATTTGAGGTATCAGATCTCCCATGCTATACTGGTTATTGGGTTCCCCAGAGTGTTTCTTTGGAATGTAGTTGAGCAGAAACTCTTGATATATACAATACAGAAATTCCAGGGTGGTGAGTTAAGACAGGGAAGAACAGATACATTTCCTCATGAAACAGAGCCTGGTATCCTACAGCAGGGGCCCAGCCACAAACTTTGGGACACAGTCTTTGAGAAGGTTGGGTTGCTTCATCACATCACAAACATTATGCTGTATGCCAGGTATGGTGGCATGTGCCTTTAATTGCAGCCCTCAGGAGGCAGAGGCAGGTGGATCTCTGAGAGATCAAAGCCACCATGGTTCACATCGTGACTTCCAGGCAGACTGGGACTAGGGGGATTCTGTCAAAAAAATTAATCAAAAGCCAAACCAAACCAAACCAAAACAAAAAACATTATGTTGTGTGTACCAGGTGCTGTATTGGGATCTCTCAGTTACTGTCAGTGCTTCTCACAGCCCCAGACCAAGCATTCATGGCCTCATTGAATTCATGAGACACTTTAGGGGGGCTCAGTTCAGGAAGAAAGCCTCTGAGAAAGGTTCACATTTCTCCTGGTAAATACTATTAACAAATCACCCTCATTTCTCCTAATAAGCATTCAGAAATCCATGTTATGTATTTTTTTCCCTTGTCAATTTAATTTTGCTAGTTTGACTTATCTCTGAGGGCAATGAGTCTGATTATCACTAATCAAGGGAACACTTACTCTGAAAGGTGTATCCACAGGGGTAGAGTGGGTGAGTATCTTGATACCATGCTTTTGACAAGGTCAGACAAAATGGAGGACAATTTTCAGTGCTAAAGAACATGTGCAGTGGGCCTCTCTTCCCTAACCACCCTTCGGTCTGGCCCCAAGATGTGCTTCTCTCTCTGCGCTAATTTCTTTCTAGTTTTAATAGAGAGGAGGCTTAACATTTCCTTTTTGGATCTTCAGCAATCAAGCAGTGTTTGCTGGATCTCATGGCTGTACTTCCTCACAAATTAGAAAATTGGTCCCTCTGCTCTCCCAGACCAGGAGTCCGAGTTATTATTCTGAATTAATGCCCATCTTGGGGCTAAGGGAGTGAGTTTCTGAGTTGCTCTCAGGTAAATATGTGGTATATAGCCTTCCTTCCCCCCTCCCATTTAAATGATACCATTTTTATCCATTTCTCCCTTAGTGACACCTGTCTCCTACTGTTCTTCTCTCTCAGGTTCTTTCTTTCCCTTTTCCTCCCTGGTTCCTTTTCATTATTCTGGTTCCTGAAGTTACATCTGGATACATACTCACATATAAGGATTTGGTGCTAGGATTCACATATCAGAGAGAACATACATCATTTGTTTTTCTGAGTCTGTGTTACATCTTCACTTAGTATAACAGTTTCTAGTTCATTCATTTACCTGAAAATTTCATGATTTCATCTTTCTTTACCACTGTGTAGAACTCCATTGTGTAAATGTACCATATTTTCAATATCCACTCATCAGTTGAGGGACACTTAGGTTGCTTCCATCTCTTAGCTATTGTGAAAAGAGCAGCAACAAACATGGATGTACAAGTGTCTCTGCAATAAAATGAGTCCTTTGGATATATGCCAAGGAGTGGTGTAACTAGGTCAAATGGTAGGATCATTTTTATTATTTTTTTAAAGAGTTCTCCACACTGCTTTCTATACAGGTTGCACAAGTTTGCAATCCCACCAGCAGTGAATGAGCATTCCCCTTTCTCCACATCCTCTCCAGCATTTGGTATCATTTGTTCTCTTGATCTTAGCCAGTCTGACTGGTGTAAGATGAAATCTTAAAGTGGTTTTAATTTACATTTCCCTAATAACTAATGATGTTGAACATTGTTTTTCAAAATATTTTATTTATTATTTTTATTTTATGTGGATGAGTGTATTGCCTGCATGTATGTGAGTGCACCCGTATTGTATAATGCCGCGGAGGTCAGAAGAAGGGGTTGGATTCCCCTGGAACTGGAGTAAAGATGGTTCATAGCTGCCACACGGGTGCTGGGAACTGAACCCAGGTCTTCTGCAAGAGCTGTTAGTGCTCTTAACCAATGAGTCTCCAGTACCCGATGTTGAACACTTTTTAAGAGGTTTCTTACCCATCTTTATTTCTTCTTGTTAGAACTCTCTGTTTAGGTCCTTAGCCCATCTTTTAATTGGTTCACTTGCTTTCTTGATTCTTTGTTTTTTGTCTTTATATATTCTGGATGTTAAACCTCTGTCAGACGTGTCATTGGTGAAGATTTTCTCCCACTCTGTGGGTTTCTTCTTCACTTCTTTGGTTGTTTCTTTTGTTGTACAGAAGCTTTTTAGTGTAATGAGGTCCCACTTATTGATTCTTGACCTTAATTCCTGAGCAACTGATGTTCTATTTAGAAAGTCCTTTTGTACACATGTATCTTGTAGGTTACTGCCAATGTTTTCTTTGAACAGTTTCAGACTTTCCAGTTTCTCATTGAGGTCTTTGATCCATTTGGAGTTGACTTTTGTGAAAGGAGAAAGATAAGGATTTATTTTCATTTTTCTACAGGTAGAGATTCAGTTTTGCCAGCACCATTTGCTGAACATGCTGTCTTTCCTCCATTGTGTGTTCTTGGCCCCTTTGTCAAATATCAGGTGGCTGAAATCATATTTACTCATATTTGGGTCTTCAATTTTGTTCCATCGATCTATGGGCCTATTTTTGTGCCAGTGCCATGATGTTGTTATAACTGTAGCTCTGCAATACAGTTGCTCTTTTTGCTCAGTGTTGCTTTGCTATCCAGGGTCTTTTGTGCCTCCATATGAATTTTAGAAATTTTTTTTCTAGTTCTGTGATGAATATCATGGGGATTTTGATTAGCATTGCATTGAATCTATAAATGACTTTTGGTAGGATGGTCATTTTCACAATATTAATTCTTCCAATCCATGAGCATGGGCAGTCCTTCTATCTTCTGGTGTCTTCCTCGATCTCTATTTAAAAAAAAAATTTAAATTTCATTGTAGAGATCTTTAATGATCTTGGTCAGGTTTATTCTGAGATTATTTGTGTGTGTGAATAGGAGGGTTTTCATGTACTTTTTCTCCATTTGGTTGTTATTGGTGTATAGAAAAGCTACTGATTTTTGTAGATTAATTTTATAGCCTCCCACTTTACTGAAAGTTTCAATCATTTCTAGGAGTTTTCTGGTGTAATTTTTGGCATCTCTTAGGTATAATATGTCATCTGCAAAAATGGATAGTTTGACCTCTTCCTTTCCAATTAGTACTCCTTCAGTTTCCTTCTCTTGTCTTATTGCTCTGGCAAGAGTTTCAAGCACTTATATTAAAAAGGAATGGAGATAGTGGACAGCCTTGTCTGGTTCCTGATTTTAATGGGAATGATTCCAGTTTTTCTCCATTTAGAATGATGTTGGCTGTGGGTTTGTTGTATATAGCTTTAATTATGTTGAGGTATGCTTCCTCCAATTCAGTTACCTCTAGGACTTTTAACACGTTGAATTTTGCGTAAATGCATGTTGAATTTTGTCAAAGGCCTTCTCTGCATCTATTAAAATGATCATGTGGCTTTGTCTTTGAGTCTATTTATATGATTTATGACGTTTGTTGACTTATATATACTGAACCATCCTTGCATCTCTGGAATAAAGTCGACTTGATCATGGTGGATGATCATTTTGATGTGCATCTCTATGCAGTTTGCATTTTGTTGAGAATTTTTGCATCTATGTTCATTAAAGATATGGGTCTTTAGTTTTCTTTCTTGGCTGCATCTTTACCTGGTTGTGGTATTAGAGTGATGCTGGCTTCATAGACGGTATTTGGGAGTTCTCCCTCTGTTGTTATCTTTTAGAATAATTTAAGTAATATTGGATGTAGCTCTTCTGTAAATGTTTGGTAGAATTGTGCTGTGAATCCATCTGTGTCTGGGCTTTTGTGAGTCTGGAGGTTTTGTATTATTGCTTCAGTTTTCTTATATGTTATGGGTCTGTTTAAGCTGTTGCTCTCTTCTTGGTTTAGCTTTGGTGGTTCCCATGATTTTAGATATACATTCATTTCTTTTAGCTTTTCAAATTTAATAGCATATAGGGTTTTTTTTGTCTTCTTGAGACAGGGTCTTTCTGTAGCCCCAGCTGTTCTGTAACTCACTATGTAGACCAGGCTGGCCTTGAACTCACAGAGATCCGCCTGCTTCTGCCTCCCGAGTGCTGGGATTAAAAGCATGTGCCACCATGCCCGGAGCATATAGGGTTTTAAAGTATTCCCTTATAATGTTCTAGATATTTTTGTTGTCTGTTGTGATGTTTCTCTTCTCACCTCTGATTTTGTTGATTTGGAGTTGCTCTCTCTTTCTTTTGGTTAACTGGACTAAGGGTCTGTCTATCTTGTTTATCTTTTCAAAGAAACAGCTCTTACATTTGTTGATTTTGTATCGTTTTCTTTGTTTCTATGTCATTAATTTCTGCTCTGATTTTTATTTCTTCTTGTCTGCTGGGTTTGGGTTTCATTTGTTCTTGCCTTTCCAGAGTCTTGAGTTGCCATGTTAAGTCATTTATTTGTGTTCTTTCTGATTTCTTAATGTAGGCACTTAGAACTATAATTTCCCTCTTAGGACTGCTTTTAAAGTGTCCCTGAGGTTTTGTTGTTTGTATTGTCCTTTTCATTTAATTCCAGGAATACTTTTCTTTCTTTTTAATTTTCTACTTTGACCTACTCATCATTCTGGAGTGGGTTTTTTTTTGTGGGGGGGTGCTGTCATTTTGAGATAGGGTCTCCCTGTAGCCCTGACTGCTCTGGAACTCACTATGTAGACCAGGCTGGCCTTGAACTCACAGAGGTTCACCTGCCTCTGCCTCCCTAGTGCTGTGATTAAAGGTGTGTGCCATCATGCCTGGCTGGAGGAGTGTTTTTTAATCTCTAGGAGTTCCTGTAGTTACTAGGAGTTCTTCCAGTCTCGATTTCAAGCTTTATTGCATTGTGGTCTGATAGAATGCTTGTAATTATTTCAATTTTTATGTATTTGTTGAGGTTTGTTTTGTGCCCCAGTATGTGGCCAATTTTGAAGTTCCATGGGGTGCTGCATAGAAAGTATACTCTTTGGTGCTTGGGTGGAATGCTCGGTAGATGTCTGTTAGATCCATTTTATATATGGTATTATGTTTAATTCAGATGTCTCTCTGCTTGTTCTTTGTCTAGTTGACTCTAGGATATGGTGGGGTATTGAGATCCCCTAGTATTAGTGAGTTAGAATTAATCTGTGTCATAAAGTCCTATAGTACTGTTTTTATGAGATTGGGTGCACCAGAGTTAGGTGCATATATTTTCATGATTGTGATATTTTCTTGGTTAATTTGTTCCCTTGATCAGAATGAAGTGACCCTCCTTATCTCATCTGATTAGTTTCAGTTTGAAGTCTATTTTGTCAGGTATTAGAATTGCAACTCCTGCTTGTTTCTTAGTGCCATTTGCTTGGAATATTTTTTTCCATCCTTTCACCTTAAAGTAGTGCCTATCCTGAGAGTAAGATGGGTTTCTTGCAGACAACAAAAAGATGGATTTTGTTTCTTAATCCATTCAATTAGCCTGTGTCTTTTGAGTAGGGGAATTCAGTCCATTGATATTTAAAGTTATTATTGAAAGATGTGTATTGATTCCTGTCATTTTAATTTCTCTTTGCATTCTTGGTCTGACTCTGTGTTTCCACAATTGTACCTTCATTTAGTTTCTTTTTGTTACCCCTTGAGTATAGTTGCTCCTTTCTTCAGCTCTTTGTATTGCTTCAAGAATTCTCTGAAGGGCTGTGTCCTAGTTTGTTTCTACATTGCTGTGACAAAACACTCTGACCACTACCAACTTGGGGAGGAAAGGGTTTATTTATCTTATATCTCCCAGGTCACAGTTCATCAGGGAGCCCAAGGTAGGAACTCAGGGCAGGAACCTGGAGGCAGGAGCTGGAGCACAGGCTATGAAGGAACACTACTTACTGACTTGCTCCCCTGGCCCCTGCACAGCCTCCTTTCTTATGCAACACAGGCCCACCTTCCCAGGGGTGACACCACCCACAGTGGGCTGGGCCCTCCCATATCATTCAACAATCAAGGAGATGCCCCATGGACATGGCCACAGGCCAGTCCAATGAAGGTAATTCCCCAATTGAGGCTCCCTCAATCCAGGTGTGTCAAGTTGACACTAAAGCTGTCCAGCACAGGCTGGTTTTATAAATGTGAATTCTTTCAGCCTATTCATGTTGTGGAAGATTTTTCTTTCCCCTTCAACTACAATGGACATTTTTGATGGTTTGGCATCCATGATCATTTAGAACTGGGAATACGTTAGTCCAGGCTCTTCTGGCTTTCATAGTTTACACTGAAAAGTCAGCTGTAATTCTGATGGGTTTTCCTTTATATGTGACTTATTGTTTTTCTTTTGCAGCTTTCAGTATTCTCTCTTTGTTCTGTATGTTCAGTGTTTTTACTATGATAAGCTGTGGGGGAATTTCTTTTCTGGTCCTGTCTATTTGGTGTTCTTTGTGCTTCTTATATTTGTATGGGCATGTCTTTCTTAATCCTGTTGAAGAGCTGGTCAATACCATCATGAGATTCTTCTCCTTCCTGTATGCCTATAATGCGTAAATTTGGTCTTTTCACGGTGTCCCACATTTCCTGCATATTCTATTCCTGTGTTTAAAAAAACTATATAATCTTTGAGTGGTCCAGTTCTTCAACTTTATCATCCAGTCTTAATGTTCTGCTTTCCATTTCATTCACTGTGTTGGTGAGGCTTTCTCCTGTCATTTCTAATCATCTTATTGAGTATTTTACTTTCTTCTTCATTTTGGCCTGTGTTTTCTTCAATGTTTCTATCTCTTTTGTGAATTCAGTCAGAAGTTTATCCCTATCTTCTTTTAGTTCTTTGATTTGTTTGTGTGTGTTCTTTAAATTTGTTGAATTCTTTGATCACGTTTATGACTGTTCTTTTAAATTCTGTGTCCTGGGTTATCTCTAGGGGGTTCTTGTTGTAGAACTCACCTATAGGACTGTTAGTGTTTGGTGGGGACATATTTGGGTTTTTCATATTATTATTTTTTCTTTCTGATTTTTAGCATGTAGTTTTCTTTTTTTTTGTGATTCTGGTATGAGATGCAAGCCTTCCTTTGTTGAGTTGAAGTCTATTTCTGTTTGTGTACTTGATGTGCCTTGATTTTCTTATTAGGTTTGGAAAGCTGGTTCTTCCAGGCTTCAGGTTCTCTCTTTCGATTTTATATTGGAGGCACCAGATGGCTCTAGTCTAGCCACTTACGAGTTCCTGCAGAGGCCCATGTCGGGTGAGAATCAGATGTTCTCAGGCTTCCTCCTAAGGTCTGGGCCTCTTTAGCCAGCAGGCACAGCACAATTTGGGAAGTTTACTAGGCAGAGGCTGAATTTAGGGGTCTTGGGTAGTCTTCAAAGGTTCGGGCCCTACTAAGGGCAGGGAAGCCTAGACGCATAGCCTGCAGCAGCGGGAGGAGCTGTAGATGGTCCCAATGTAGAGGGATGGGCATGGTACAATTTGGAGAGCTCACTGCCATGTGTCACTAAAAGGGTAGTCCAGAAATCTGGGGTTCTAAGAGCAAAAACAGGCCTGTGCCTAAGGCTAGAAGAACAGGGTGTGGGGTCTGGGAGATTGGAGTTGCTCAGGCTATAGAGGAGTCAAGGCAGAGTGGGCAGGATCAGACTTACCAGGGAAGAAGGCTGGTCTGGATAATTCAAGGCAAGTTGGGGTGGGGACAGCCAGAGTAAAAGGCTGGTCTCAGGAGTCCAAAGGTAAGTCGGGGGTGGGGACAGCCTGTGAAGGCACTAACAAACTAGTCTGAAAAGTTGAGCTGGTCTGAGTACAGGGGATCAGGACGCCATGGATGGGTCTGGACTTAGAGGGTAGTCCAGAGATCTAGGATGCTAAGAGTAAAAGCGGGCCTGCGCCCAAGGCTAGAAGAAGAACAGGATGTGGGGTCAGGCATACTGGAGTTGCTCAGGCTATAGGGGAATCATGGCACAGTGGCGTCATATGTAATTTCTAATCTGCTTTCTTTCCCTGAGCTCAGATTTGAGAGCTCTATAGTCAGCATGTTTGATCTGTTACTTCTTTCCGCAGATCAAGTGGCATGTGTTGTACCGCCAGAATGCCAAAAGTTCTGTGACAGCCAAACTGGTTGTAGCACCCTGGCTTATCCAGTGCTGGTGACAAAAGTGATGCCTTCTGGTAAGAAATGGGTCCTGTCACCAGGGGCTATAACAACCCCCACTGGAGCCTGTGCTATTGGGCTATATGTGGCAGTTGGGAGTGTGCGTGCAGGAGTGGCTTGCTCCACCAGCCCATCATTCTGGGTGTGGAGGCAGGCTGTGCTTGGGAGTGGTGTTAGCATTGGAATAAGCATTGCGACTCTGGTAGGAGCAAGACCTCAACCCTGTCTTCCCTTCCCACACTGGAAGTGCACATCCTCATGGAGGCACAACCTTCACATGCTGGTTACATTATTCATATTACTTGCTGCATGTGTTTCCCTTGCTCATTTACATAGAAAACAGGCTCCACACGGTGCAAGGCATTGTTGTAAGCCCTGAGTAGACAAACAGAAACCAGAGAAGTGCTGTTGTCAAAGAGCTTATCATTCAGTGTAGGTAGTCAAAGAGCCAGGCAGTTACCTACCAGTCAGGTAGCTTTCTGCTTGAGGTGTCAGGGAGCCTATGCATTTATCTCACCTTTTCCCCCAAATCCCACTGAAATCACCAAACAAATATTTTTAAAGAAAACCTTACTGTTAGCTCTGGAGACCAACAGGTCAGACATTTGAGAGATGTTCATAGAATCTACTACATAAAGAATCGTACTGAGGAAAATACTGACTATGCTGCAGTCCAGGAAGAGGGTTTGTCTGATTCCCAAGGGTGGAAACACCCTTAGAGCAGCTGAGGAATTGCCACAGGGGCTTCCATGTAAGGTCCTCATTATCTTCAGACTCTCCCAACAACATGTGATTCCCAAACAGAGCAGTTAATGTCCCTGCCACTAGGTGAACCTCCAGGTTCCAGATTGTTCTGCTTAGAAATAGTGTTGGTGGAGTGCTTGTGAATTTGTCTATTTATCTTCATCTTAACAGCAACTCTTTGGTAGGTACTGTTAGTGTACTGTACAGATGAAGCATCTCATCTCTTGCCTATAGTAAAGGCCTTCTCTAAACCTCAAGTTGAAAGGGGTACAGGCAAAACCACTCATCTCATGGGGCTGTAGTGAGGATGGTACAGGTAAATGGCTGCAGAGATTTACTGGCACAAATAACCCTCCAAGCATTATTAGCTGCTAAAGCGTGCTGCAGGAAACTATTAACTCTTGTCACAAAGCAAGTGAAAGGGAAAAGAAATACATCCATGTCCTTAATGCCACTTCTCTGTATGTCTAAATATTGTTTCATGGCTGATTTTTGTATCTAAGGACATAGTTCTCACCTTATAGAACTTTATAAATGCGTACTAAAATTTATGTTGAAAAAAGAACAGAAGCTGAGGTGGAGAAAGCTACCTTGAGAAATGAACCCCACAGTTACCTAGTGGAACATCTGTTTGCAACTGCCTTGCTTGTTCAGGTATCCGCAACAAACTCTGTTAAATCATCTTAGAAGTTGGTGGCACATGCCTTTAGTCCCAGCACTCAGGAGGCAGAGGCAGGTGGATCTCTGTGAGTTCAAGGCCAACCTGGTCTACATAGAGAGTTACAGGCCAGCTGGGGCTACAGGAAGACCCTGTCTCAAAAAGACCAAAAAAAAAAAAAAACCAAAACCAAAACCAAAAAAACCCCATATCTTAGCTCCTGCCCTAGCTATCTGCGTCTGCAAACATGCCTGCAAAAGGAATTTCCTTTCTGTGGTCTTAAGGCGCAAAAGCACCTGTACTAGTAATGATGTAGACTGTAACCAATGCTATTAACAGTTAAAGAGTAACTCGGTGGGACTTGTAAAAACTGTGAGGGAAATAAACTGGGGGCTTGAGTTCTTTGGGAAGAAACTCTGCTCGAGTCCGCTGGCCTGGCTAAACTTTCCCAATTTCTCCACATGAATGTCTTGGTGCTTTCTCTGTGCATGGCTGCTCCCATGTCTCAGTTTCTTGTAACACAAGATCAAGTGTAACACTATATCTTAGATGGAATTCCACTCCAAGAAAATGTGTATATTTCGAAGGAGAAACTTTAGTATTTGGGAATATTCCTTAAAAGGACTAAGTCTCTCTGGTCAGCAAGCTGGTGGTCCAGGAAATGTTTTCTTTTTCTTCCAGGCCTACGGGGCTTTATGCTGTCCACTGTCTGTGCTTCCCTCATGTCCTCCCTGACTTCTGTTTTCAACAGTTCCAGTGCCCTGTTCACGATGAACATCTACACCTGGATACAGCCTCTATCCACTGAAAAGGAGCTCATGATAGCGGGAAGGTGAAGTGTTCTAGTCCTGTCAGTCACTAATATTGGAGAATACCCCTTCCATATGTGATCTCCTGAAAAACTTGGGCTGTAACACTGTACATAGAAGTATCCTGTTCATATGTAGTCTGGTTGATTGGGGGTGGTTATTTTTATATACTTTTGCAATGATAACAAATGACGCAAAGAAACAGATTAGCCCCAATATAATAATGTGGTTGACTTCAATATTCCAATCTCACCGAAAGACAGGTCATCCTCAATAAAAATAAACAGGACATCATAGGTCAAACAGATCTAATAGGCATTTATGCAACATTCCATCCAAACACTGAGGAATATTTATATTCTTCTCAGCAGGCAGTGAAACTTTCCCTAAAATAGACCATAACTCAGGATGCAAAGCAAGTCTTAACAGATACGAGAAAATGTAAATAATCACGCTAGAATAAAATTAGAAGCCAGCAGCAAGATAAACTTCAGAGCATACACTAACTCATGGAGACAAAATAATACACCGTTGAATGATGAATCACTCATGAAAAGATCAAGAAAGAAATTTAAATTCCTAGAACTGGGTGAAAATGAATGCAGCATAACAAACAGGTGACACAATGAATACGAGGGAAGTTTGTAGTTACAAGTACCTATGTTAAAAAAATCAGAGAACTTTCTCCTGTAGTTTCAAATGGACTTACTGAATCATTCAATTCCATCTTCATTTTGGGTTGGGTTTCCTTTAATTATTTCTATCTCCTTTGTGAATTTACTTTTCAAATCCTGAATTGCTTTTGTCATTTCTCAGGAGATGAGAAGAAATAACAAAAATCAGAGCAGAAATTAGTGAAACAGAAACAAAGAAAACAATACAAAGAATCTAAGAGCTGGGATTTTGGGATTTCTCATGTATAATACCCTATCATCTGCAAATAGGAATAATGTGACCTCTTCTTTTCCAATCAGTACCTCTTTAATTTCTTTCTCTTGTCTTATTGCTCTAGCAAAAATTTCAAGCACTATTTTGAAAAGGAGTGGAGATAGTGGACAGCCTTGTCTGGTTCTTGATTTTAATGGAAATGCTTTAAGTTTTTATCCATTTAGAATGATGTTGGCTGTGGGTTTGTTGTGTATAGATTTAATTATGTTGAGATATGCTCCCTCCAGTCCAATTCCCTTTAGGATTTATAGCATGAATGCATGTTGGATTTTGTCAAAGGCCTTTTCTGCATCTATTGAGATGACCATGTGATTTTTGTCTTTAAGTCCATTTGTATGATTTATTACATTTATTGACATGTATCTTGAACCATCCCTGCATCTCTGGAATAAAGCTGACTTGATCATGGTGGATGATCTTTTTTTAAAAATTATTTATTTAATAACCACATACTTAGAAGCATTTCATTACACTGAGATGTTGGCGCATGCATCTCTAATCTGTATGTCAACAGCATTGACATATTCAATAACAATTTCCTGAGCTAAGATGCATCTCTTTCAAAATTGACTGTAAATTTTTAGGTTTATGGTTGAATTATTACAGTTATAAAATATTGTACTCAGTATAAACCCCATAAGCTATAAAATTAAATGGTTTTAACCTTTAAAAAAGATCTCTGTTTCATTATTAAAATACACAGTTTCATACAGACAAATTCATTTTCAATGCAATTGACATTGAGATGTTTGCACATGTGTTTTTAATCTCTATATATCTGATTATTACTAGTCACAGTCAGTTACTTTCTGAGCTCTTTGGCATCTGAGCATGGATATAAAGTCATCAGGTAGACTTCAATAGTAATGTTTTTCACATCTACTAATTATTATTATTTAAATCATTATTTTTAAAATTTTTAATAACTACATGATTAGAAGAAGCATTTCATTACAGCATTAATATACTCACTAACAATTTCCAGAACAAAGATGAAAAGCAGAAAGACATTGTTTCTGCTACTAACACTGAGATGTTGGCACGTGCATCTCTAATCTGTATGTATCTGATTATTACTAGTGATAATCGGTAGCACTTGGATCCTTGGTGCCTGTGTATGTCTATGAAATCATTGGATAGATTTCAATGGTAGTGTTTATCACCTCTACTAATTAGCATGATGTAAATTTTTAGACTTCCTCCTGAAATATAATTCATTTTTAAAAATTTGTTGATTTGTGTGCATGTGTGGGTGCAAGTGCATGTGTAGGCACCTGTGTGTGGAGGCCAAAAGTCAAAGTAGGACCTTCTATTGCTCTTCACATTTTCTGAGGCATGGTTTCTTACTGAACCTGGAGTTCAATGACTTGCCAAGACTAGCTGATCAGCAAGCCCCAAAGAAGACAGGGCACTATCTTCCTTCCCAGACTGACATAGCACACGTGCCACTATGCTCAACTTTCTACATGGGTGTTAAGAACCTAACTCAGGTCTTCATGCTTATATGTCAAACTCTTTACTGACTGAACTGTCTTCCCAGATGGAAACTAGTTTGTCATAATTATTAACTGTTGTACTCTTGTCTGATGTTAGGATTTTAAGATTAAACTACTGTGAGAAAGCAATAATGAATAGATTAAATAAACTCTGTTAGATATAAATGTGGATTGATAAACAGCTTTTCAAGAAATAAAGACTCTCACACTCAAAACATTTTGTAACAGGGCACCTTCTTGACCATAGCTATGCCATGTTAAAGTTTAGGCTGACTCTAGTCTCTGAAATTATCAGGCAGTTGGCCAAGATTATGGGAACACATGTCAGCTGAACCCTGGTTGTCTTGGGAACAGGTCAGCATGTCTGGGAGTGTATTTGCTAATTGCAGATTTATGGCTTCTGTAGGTTATGCTTGGCTTGCTTCTGCAATTTCTAATAGAATAGAAATTGTTAAGTAGG